AGAGAGAGAGAGAGAGAGATACCTCTAGGATCTATTTGACGCCCTATTTTTCTCCTTTTGAGCAAATAGATTGTAAATAACTGAAATAATTCAATTATTTGGAACCCCAAATAATTGAAATAATTGAAGTCCATATCTACCTGTGCAAGCCACCAAACCCCCACCAACTCAATAATTGAAATAATTGAAACATTTCAAATAATTGAAATAATTGAAATAAGCCCGATTTCAATTATTTCAATTATTTTGGGACCCCAAATAATGCAAATAATTGAAATAATTGAAATCAGCCCGAATTCAATTATTTCAATTGTTTGAAACATGTCGATTATTTCAATATATTGAAATGTTGTGGGTTCGGGGCTCAGGCTTATCCCACCACTCGATTTCAATTACTTCAATTATTGGGAACTGGGAACTCCAAATAATTGAAATAATTGAACTCCCTACCTACTTGTGCAATCCGCCAAACCCCCATCATTTCAATAATTGAAATGATTGATATACTTCAAACAATTGAAATAAGCCCGATTTCAATCATTTCAATTATTTGGAAAGGCCCCAAGTAATTCAACCTCCAGCTCTTCCGGCCCTGCCCTCCAGCCCTCAAGCCCTCTCCCTCCAGCCCTCCAGCCCCCTCCAGCCCCGTATCAACCTCCACCCCCTCCCCTTCAGCGGCCCTTTCCTCTTCCCCTCTCCATCTCCCTCCCCCCCCTCTCCCTTTCTCTGCCCCCTCCCCTCATCCTGCATCTCTCTCCCCTCCCTCCCGCGCACCCCCCCCCCTTCCTGCTCTTCCTCTTTGCGCCCTCCAGGGACTGGATTTCTTAACCAAGTTTTTTTGGTGGCACAGTGTCAAGCAATTACAACGCCACTAAGAGATGGATTTATTAACTAAGCTCTTGTCTACCACCGTGTCCATCAATTGCAACGCAACTAAGGAATGGATTTGCCAACCACGGTTTTTGTGCCCTGTGTCAAACAATTACCATGCTACTCAGGAATGGATTTGTTAACCACGTTTTTCGTGCCACAGTGTCAAACAATCAAAACGCCTCTTTATTTTTGTTGTGCCACTGTGTCAAAAAATTACAATGCCACTAAAGAAATGATTCGTTAAGGGAGGATGGTGGCGAGAGGAGGGAGGGGAGGCGGGAGGCTGCCTCCCCCTCGACTAGGCAATTCCAACTATTTCTTGTCCGATAAAATTTGGTCCAATCCTCTCTGTTGTCATTCCCATCGGTAACATCAAGAAAGCAAACAACATGAGGCAGCCAAAGTTCTGAGAACAGCTCGCCTGCAAAATTTGGCCCAATCCTCTCTGCTGTCATGTCCTTGGTTACCGGTGAGGCTAGAGGCAAGAAATGACAGCAGAGAGGGTTGTACCAAGTTTTGCCGGCGAGCTGTGCCCGGAACTTTGGTGACCTCAGGTTATTGCTTTCTTGATGTTACCGATGGGAAATGACAACAGAGAGGATCGGACCAAATTTTGCCGGGCAAGAAATAATTGAAATGGTGAAATGGCCTCCGCATGTCCGGCAAAATTTGGTCTAATCCTCTCTGCTGTCATTTCCTTGGTTACCGGCAGCTATCGGTGGGACATGATAGCAGAGAGGATTGGGCCAAAATTTGGTGGCCAACTGTTCCAAAAACTTTGGTTGCCTCATATTCGGCTTTCTTGATGTTACCGATGGGAAACAACAACAGAGAGGATCGGACCAAATCTTGCCGGACAAGAAATAGTTGACATGACACCCGCTATTCCAAGAAAATTTGGTCCAATCCTCTCTGCTCTCATGTCCTCGGTTACCGGCAGTTGCCAGTTGGGCATGACAGCAGAGAGGATTGGACCAAAGCTTGGGGGCGAGCTGTTCCCAGAACTTTGGTTGCCTCATGTTCGTCGCTTTCTTGATGTTACTGACGGGAAATGACAACAGAGAGGGTCGAACCAAATTTTGCCGGACAAGAAATAATTAAAATGGCCCCCGCTTGTCCGGCAAAATTTGGTCCGATCCTCTCTGTTGTCATTTCCCATCGGTAACATCAAGAAAGCAATAACCTGAGGTCACCAAAGTTCCGGGCACGGCTCGCCGGCAAAACTTGGTACAACCCTCTCTGCTGTCATTTCCTTGCCTCTAGCCACACCGGTAACCAAGGACATGACAGCAGAGAGGATTGGGCCAAATTTTGCAGGCGAGCTGTTCTCAGAACTTTGGCTGCCTCATGTTGTTTGCTTTCTTGATGTTACCGATGGGGTTGTTGTTCATGATATTGTTGATGTTGCTGTGCTTGTGGTCGTGGTTGTGGTTGTGATGTTGTTGCTACTGTTGTCATTGGCTGCTGTTGCTGGTCGCGGTGATTGTCAACGGGCTGGGGATTTGGAGTCGATGTTAGAGTTGTAAGACTGGAACTCACATTAAAGGAACGACACAGAACGAGACAAAGGAATGACAAAAGACCTGCAGACGTTGAAACATGGAACACCCAAAGCCGCAAGTACAAGCACTGCAAACAACACAGCTTGTGACTTATTGCGAGTACTAGTATAACCACTGCTAATATATCAATGATGTGATGGTAATCACTACTCAATTACTATTCGTATGGTTTGCTGTTGTTGTTGCTGCTGTTATGGTGAATGAAAACCACTTCCATAGAGGGGGGCACTGCTTGGAGTTCACCACCCAATATTTATATCCTTCGTCATTTGTAGTTCTTGTTGTCGTTGTGCTGTTGTTGTTATTGTAGTCGTCGTCGCTGTAGTTGTGTCGTTACTGTTGCCGGCAAAAGGCAAAGCCTGACTGACACGCAAATATAGACTGCAAGAGCATATGCGGACAACGCTGTTTGCGATAGATCATACCCCATCCCCTTCCTTTAATCTTTATGACCTACCTTCCCATCCGCCCCAAATCATATTACTTGTATGATTTTATTCATTCTTATTACCAACATGGTGAGGATTACTAATGCTGGCTGTACTGATTGCGGGTTTTGTTGTTGTTCCCGATATTGTTGATGCTGCTGTGCTTGTGGTCCTGGTTGTGGTTGTTGATGTTGTTGCTACTGTTGTCGATGGCTGCTGTTACTTGTCACGGTGCTGGCTGGGGGTTTGGAGTTGACGTTAGAGTTGCAAGATTGGAAGTCACACTAGTGGAATGACAAAAACCAACACAAAGGAACGACAAAGATCAACAGACACAGAAACATAAACAAATGAATAAATAAACGAATAAATAAATAGATAAACAAATAATCAATACATGAATAAAAAAATATGTATATATACAGATATATATATATACCTTTCTTTCTTTCGGCAGGGATATGGGCAAGGGGAGGGGTCCCCCCTTGCCCGCGCGCCAGTCGGCGCCCCCGAATACCTCTTCCTTCGGCAGGGTTATGGGCATGAGGATTTCTCCCCATGCCCGCGCCCGAATACCTCTCTCTCTCTCTCTCTCTCTCTCCTATCGCTTCAAATTCAAGTATTGCAAACAACACATACAACAAGTTCGTTAGCCAACACTCAATGAACACTTCGGGAAAGTAGTAATTCACATCCGATCTCAACATCAGCAACAGCATCC